TGGCCTGTACCCCAGTTCTGTATGCACAAATAAATAAATCTTTAAAAAAAAAATCATAAAGTAGCCACAAATCTTACCCAACAAAGAGAAAACGATCAAACCTGTCCCTTACGAGACTGCTCTCCCCTTGCAGCCAGGCTTCTCCAGCAGTGTAGAAACCGCAGCATGTGGACTAGAACAGCGGGGTGGCAGCACCTCAGCCTGCAGGAGGACTCCGTGTCCAGCCCGGGGCAGCAGTCCCACACCCCGCACCCTGGCTCTCCTACGCAGCCACACAGCAAACACGGCCTGGGAGCGGGGCGCTGCTCAGACGGTGCAAGGGTGCAGCGCTCCCTGGGCCGCGCACTGTCCTGGGAGCCTGTCCGTCACCTCCTCTGTGCACGCGCCTAGTTTTAAAAAGTCCACAGACACACACGAAGCCATCGCTTCACCCGAGGAAGAAGACGAAGCATTACGCTCCAGAGAGCAGCACTGTGTGTCGGGGGGGCTTCCGCAGAACCACACGGGCACAGATGCTCCTGCACCGAGAGCTGCCGCTTGGACCACTGTCTGGCTTGGTGACCGGTAAGCCCCGTGGACAGTCCAGTCCCTGGGTTCACGACAGGCTCGCCACCTGCCTGTGCTCAGCCAGTTACTGCTCATGCGCACCGTTCCTGTCAGTGACGCCTACGCACCTGACCACGCCCGGCCCGCCCACCGCTCACCTGGCACGATCCACGGTCCACGGTCCACGGCTCATTTCCCACAGCAGCCACGGGCCACGTTTTCGTCCACTGCCGTGAGGCCCACGCTGGGGCCTGCATTCTGTGAAACACAAGGCAGATGTGACTGAGGAGGAAGCGACGGAGATGTCTCTTAAGGGCCACCGCTGGCCGCACAGGATGACTCGCTCTCTGGCTCCTGCCCCAGCTGCCCTACGGAGATGGCACAGCTCTCCCGAGACGCACTTTTAATTATGATTATCCACACTGCGCATGCACGAGTTCACCACCCTAGTCAACACAAGAATGAGGGGGACTCGAGCAGCCCGCTCTGGCTCCTTACCCACGCGGGGGCCGCCGGGTGACCCGCGGAGCCGGGGAGTCCGGTGTGATCTCGTCGGGCCCCTCGTCTGGCCCGTCAGTGTGGTCACTTCCTTCTTCCGTGTGACAAACGTGCTCAGCACACCGCTGTGTGCCACCTGCTCTTCATCCACACAGCGGAGGGCTGGGCCGTGCCTTGCTGCTGGGGACAGTCCACAGCGGCATCTAAGCGGATCAACCTGAACCCACAGTTCCGGTCATGACTTCTCTTCGGTGGTTCATTCTTGACCCTCTTTCCTTTTAGTACTTATTTACTCATGTGACTTATTCTCAGCTGCACAGTGGACACGGCGGCCGCCATCCAGGCCCCGCCCACTGAGTGGTCTCTCACCCGAGGACACACTCTCTCACCACCCACCAGCTGACACCTTGCTGGGCTTGGGGCTTCGGATAACTCGAGTACTCGCCATCCTGGCTTGAAACACGTTCTGTCACTGCGGGTCCACAGTGGGTCCACTCGCGTTCTGTCCAGGCCTTCACTCATCTCTGCCTAATCCCTGGACACCCAATAACACCCTTACCACCCTTACACCTGCCTGCCTCCCCACAGTCGAGCTCTTCCCTGGGGGGGAGGGGACGCGGGGGAACACCCAGTGTGTCCATGCCCCGGCGCCTAACACCCCATTAGGAGGAAGAAAATACAAGGTCATTGTCCGCTGAAGTCAGGTCAGCGGACCTGGATCCATCAAAACCTTTTGTCCAGACACATTCCCACAATTGTTCTGTCTGAGGGAGGCCCATGACATTACTGCTGCAACCTCTTATCAGTTTAAGAATAAAACAAACAACAAGCCACGCCGGGCTCTTTCCTGCGTCCCTCGGTGTGGAGAGCCGCACGTCGCCGGCGCTGGCCCTGTCCCCTCCGGGCCCACCTCTGACCTCCGGGCCGGCCAAGACCAGGACAGTGACCACATCTGGGCCCACGCAGCTCTGCCTCCCCCGCCCGCTGCCCTACACCTGAGTCGCCCCCACTCTCCAGCGAACCCCCTCCCCGCTCCCTTCTGTCTGTAAAGTGTTATTCTCAAAACAGTGGGCCGGTGGCTTACGAGACCGCTGCAGGAGGTTTCAGCTGAAAGCTGAAAAAGGGTGAGGGGAGAGTGACATGGGCGTGACTGGTGAACACACCACGGGCCTCAGGGCCAGCCAGCTGCGCCTGGGCCCCGCCACCCCCCACCCCAGCCACGCCGCGTCCCACGCCGCGGGCCCCAGAGGCAGCCGCCAGCCAGTGGGCGGCTGCAAGGTGCACTCAGCCCTGCACCTGTCGCCCCCACCTGCTCCAGGGCCCTTTCCGCCGGCCCTACTCAGCCCCGGCCGGCCAGCTCGGCGGCCCCTGCCCGTGTCTGAGGCCCTCGCCCACGCCTGTGGACCCTCTGCAGCGCGCCCGAGCGGTGGTGCTAGACAGACAGACAGACCAGGTTCCACCCCAGCAGGCACTCACGAGCTGTGTAACTGCAGAGACGTGACCTGGCCTCTCTGTCTTGTGCCCCGACTTGTGCGTTTGTAGAACAAGAACAGCAGCACCCTCGTGGGTCCAACGTGAGGGCGCCGCAGCCCCAGCACTGCCCGGCGACCCCACACCCGCGCCCACCCACACCACCCGTGGCCACGCTGTCCCCAGAGGGTCAGAGAAACGAAGGATCTCAGCGCTCAGGTCAGGGGAGGGGCCTGGGGCAGAAGCTGCTGGGGCCTGTCGGGTTTTGCACACAGCATCCAACTTAAACCAGTACCTGGAAAACAGAAATCCAGCTAGAGGCTGCACCTTGGAAACGGAAATTCATCTCATGACACGGAGTTGCCCTTGGGGAGTCTGTGCCATGCCATTCGTGATGTTCGAATTATTTTCCAGAAGCCAGAGAAGCCTGGAGGCCGCTGACAGCACAGCCAGCTCCCCTCCTGCCCTGGGAAAGGCCTGTACGTGCCCGGCACGCTGGCCAGGAGCTGCACTGGGACATGAAAATAAACACAAACAAACAAATTTGCAAACACGCATCTATTATGCACGTGCGTTCAGTGCAACAGATACAGAGATACAGCCACTCAGCCACGTTCTCGGCCGCTCGGAGACACCGCGCAGCTGGGCGTCGCCCCGGGCCCAGCCGTCGCCTCTGCCACACTTGCCAGGCCTCAGGTGGCAACAATCGAGCAGGCGTCCCTCCCTCCAGATGGTGCGCAAATGAAAGGCATGAAGTCAAAGCACAAGTTCTCTCCAAGGAGCAGAGGGTCGGCCGCTGCACCTCCTGTCCCAGCACGGCGCCGTGTCCTGCCTGAGCCCCCATTATCTCATCTGGGCCTGGGCGCAGTCCTGCGAATTAGACATAATCACCGTAATTAGCCCATCGCTATTGGAGGCGGGCTCCGCACGCTGCGCCGCGCGGCCGGGGGGCGGGCTCCGCCCCACAGCGCCTCTCTCACCTCCCTTTCCCCCAGAAAAGTTCTGAGCACGCGCTCAGGCCAAGCACTAAGCTAGGGGCCAGGGACAGCACAGCGGACCAAACCGACGAGCCCCGAGCTGACCACACCCCCACGGAGCAGCCAGCGCAGACACGCAATGAGCCGGGGCGGGGCGGTGATGGGAAGGCGGGGCTCGGACGGGCGCGTCTGGCTAAGATGCCCTGTGCTCCTCTCCCACGCGGGGCTGAGCCTCGGGACAGCTTAGTGACTCGCAAGTGGTCAGGCTGGCTCGAGGCTGGCTCGGCCTCTTAGCCCAAGGCCTCAGCTTAGTGGCGTTCTCACCCTCGGGAACCCGCCAGCCCACGGAGTGAGCGTGGGAGCACGTGACCGCGGAGAGTCTCCGCGGAGAGGCAGTGGGGACGCGTCCCCCTGGACTTGCACGCCCCTGGGCCCCAGTGTTGGGCACCGACACCCCCAGCAAAGCCAAAGAAACGCTGCTATCCACACAGCTACCTTGTCACCAACACCCTCCCTCCTTCCCCACAAAGAGATAGACAGGGAAGTGAGTCTGGTATGAAATTAGGGGAACTTGTCCACTGCCCCCCAAAAGCCACAACGTGGAACCAGGGGGCTCTGAGCAGTTCATGCTGCCCTTTTCCCCAGCTCCCCTCCAAACTCTCAGCACCCCCAGGGAGATCTTGGGGAGCAACCTCTACTCCAGGGAGCATCTTTCCTTTGACGCTGCATTTCTATTTGGGGCGTATAATGCTTTTTCTAGAGCCCAAACTGCAATCGTTAGTCTGAAATGGGTATCCGTGTTTCCATTCCACAGGTTCCCTCTCCGAAGACAAACTCGTGCCCACGCCACGTGGAGCACCTCGCCCGCCCGCCGTCAAGTGCGGAGGATGGCCCTCATCAGGCAGAGACATGAAATGCCATCGTAATGAGGAGGGTTGTAAAAGCTGCAACTTGAATTGTGATAAAATACTCGCTGTGTGCTTATGGTGGGAAGTGTCGCTGGAAGTGCGTCAAATGTTTTACTCTTCTAGTTTGGAAGCACCATCACTACAGTGCTACCAGCGCACCCATATGACAAGTGAGGAAACTGAGGCACAGAGTTACGTGCTTTGCCCAAACTCAAAAGACGGGTGAAAACAGGGCTGGAATGCAAAGCAGAGCTGGGGCGCGGGGACAGTGCTCAGCCCGGGCTGCGCGTGCAGGTGCCTGAGCCCCACAGAGGTCGGGGGCCCGGGGGCCTTGCTGGTGTGCCCCACAGCCCTCGGTCTCCCGTTGCCTTGCACCCCCTTCAGGTTCTAGGGCTCCTTTTGTATCTGCTCCCCTTGGCAGCTAGTGACAAGGTGAGCGGCCGGAAAATCAACCCGACGCGATTCACCGCCTGGCGGGGCGTCAGGGGTGCGCCGGGTTGATAGACGCAAGTAGAATAGACTAGAGAAGGTGTTACTTGAGAAATAGACTTGAATTCACGTGCCTAAGGGGCCCCGCTCCCTGGGGGGACTGAGAGGGCAAGTCTGACGTGGGTGAACCCCAAGGAGCGCAAATTTTTTCAATCAAAGTCAAAAATATGGCGAAATGGGAAGAATGAATGAATTTGGAAGAAAATCAGACGAGGGTTCAAGTTCCGGTCCCCGTTCGCACCCACGTGTGGCCTTGGGCAAGTCCCTTGCCAATCCCAAGCCTCAGTTTCCTTCTGTCTGGCTCGAGGATGGCAAGTGCTGTCGTGGAGGGTGGCGGTGATGATTTAGGGGACAGAAGCCTGCACCAAGTGGCTAGAGGACGACGGAGCAGTCGGACTGAGGCTTAGTCATCCAGGAGAGCCAGTGGTGAGGCGGCAGCCTGCTGTTTCTCAGAGCAGCGTGAAAGCAGCTAGGACTGAGAGCTGCTGCTGCACAGCTCCAGCACCACAGCTGGGACTCGCTCCCTGTGAGCTGGCAGCCCACCTGTTGTCCCAGAGCCACCTAAGCCCGTCAGTCCACTCGGAGGCGGAGGAGAAGGCAAGAGCTCCCCAGACAGCACCACTCAGAAGAACTCTCTCTTCGCAGCCACAGCAAGCCTCCTCCCGTGGTGAGAAACTGACTATTCTCTCTCATCCATCCAGCCACCCATCCAGCCACCCATCCAGCCAGCCATCCTCTGCACTCGAATTCATTTCACCCATCTCACCAGCCGTCACCGGCCAGCCACCTCTCTACCCACTGGCACCGACACAGGCACCCACCCACCCACCGGACTCCCATCCATCCTTTCACCACACGGTGCGCGGGGGTCAGACAAACCTGGGTCGGAGTCCCAGGTCCTCCTTCCTAGCCACTCCTGGACAGGTCACTAACCTCTCCAGCCCTCTCATCTGTAAAATAAAGGGCCGTCAGACAGAGCTGGGTGAGGATGTAAAGAGGGGTGGGCAGAGAGGTGCCTGGCCCGGGCAAATGGTCATTAACTGCTCATTCCCTCTGCTTCTGCGGTCGGGCTGGGGCTGAGGCAGAGAGAAAACCACTGCATCTCGCATGACATGTTGAGAGATGCTTTTCAGAAACTGTCCGCAGTGTTTGAGGGGTGTGCTCCCCCTGCGGCACCGGGGCTGGGCGGCGGCCGGAGCAATCGGGGTGGTGGTCTTTCCTGACTCACAGCACAGGGTGCCGTGTGGTGGGCCGGCCACCTGTGGGGTCCCGGGTCGGCCGTCCTGTCCGGGGCCGGCCGCAGCGCAGGGTTGCGTGCGGAGGCTGGAGCCGGGCTGGAGCGGCCGGGCGTCCCAGCCCCTGGCTGCGGGCTGCTGGGCTGCCTTCGTTGGGATGTGGGGCACGTCCTGTGCTGTGTTAGCCACTCAGGGGTCGGGACTGCCAGGAACCTTTTGTTTTGTGGACGAGAGCCAGCTCTGTCTCGCCTTCCCAGCCCTGCTCCCCTTCAGAGGTTTCCGGGAAAAAGAATAATTCCAGCAGCTACTGTTTGCCGAGTGTCTGTTATGTATCAGACAGGGCTGGGGGTGTCACGGACACGATCCCCAAGCCTCTCGGTCACCCTGGTGAAGACCCAGAGCCGGCCCCGAGGTCGGCGAGGGGTTTGAGAACTGCCGAGGCCGGGGCTGCGTCCTGGACGCGGGGTAGTTTTCCAGCTGCTAAATGTGCAGCGGCACTTACCCGGCCCCTGAAAGTGCAGGGAAGAATTAGGACCCTGATTTGAGTAAGCCAACTGTAAAGGAAATTTATGAGTCAATCAGGGAGATTCGAAAACTGAAGAGACACTGAATGGCATGAAGGAAATGCTGTTAATTTTTTAACTGAGATAATGACATTGTGGCTCTGGATTTAAAACAGAAAAGAGTCCTTTTGCAAGATACGGGCTGAAAATGCTCACAGGAAACCACCGCTTCCTTCGGTTTTCTTCAAAACAGTCCAGGGTGGAGGGGAAGGAGGAGGGTTAACCAGGGCGCAGGGACTGGCTGCCGGAGGGCTGTCTGGTCTGCCCGGGGAGAGGGAGCTGTGCAAACGTGAGGAAGATCGGCCACTTTCTCTCCTTCTGTGGTGTCTGAAATTTCTCCTACTGAGAGGGTTTTCGAATAAGCAGGTAAAAATGAAGTGCAGGACACGCACGGGTGTGCAAAGCCGCCCACGGGCAAAGGGCTCTGGGTCTGAAGGAAGCCCCAGGAGTACGAAGGAGCTGATTTTCAGGGAACAGATGTGGAAAAGGGGAGAAGAGCTGCCCCTGCCCACATTCCGGGGCTCAGGAGAAAGCACAGGGTACGGGGGTGCAGAGAATGCTCACAGCAACCTCCTGAGCCCCCAGGCCCTCCTACCTCCCTTTAGAGCCCCCAAAGTCCCCCCAGTCCTCCTGCCCTCTCCCTGCCTTCCTCAGAGCCCCCCTGCTCTGCCCAGACCTTCCAGCCCCGACCCGGCTCCAGCGCCCCCTGGTCCTCCCCTAGGTCCCAAGCCCTCTCCTAGTCTCCCCCCTCCCCCAGACCACTCACACTCACCCCGACTTTCCAGACCCCTCTCAGGCCCTTCTGCCTCTCCCCAGACCCTCTGCCCCTGCTGGGCACCCCCCAAGCCGCTCAGAAAGGGTCTGGCTCCCCTCTTCTCCAGAGCAGCACTGGCCACCTGATGCGCGCACCCAGCCCGCACCCAGCCCGGAGGAGTGTTTGGCTTCAGACGCTTCTCTGTGTTCATTTATTTGTTTACATCGCGTTGGGGGAAACACAGGAGTTGGTGCTTTTGCCCTAAAACTGTGTGCCAAGCCAGCCTGCCGTGGCGGCCCCTCTCCCCGTCTGCCCCCACCCCCTCCGCCGGTCATGTCACTGCACACTGACTCACACGGACCCGGCGCCGCAGCTCCCTCCCGGAGCGCGCACCACCACGGCCGCCTCTCCTCCTGTCGACCCTCCGCAGCCCCAACTCTGCCACAGGCTTCCAGGGCGCCGCCAGCCCGCGCGGCTCCTCCGCATCCTTCGGTCCCACTTTGGAAAGCGGCGCCGGACGGCTCCGGACCCTCCGCGCAGCCTGCTGCATTGCAGCGCAGCAGCGGGGCGAGGGAGCGGCGCGCCGCAGCCCCGGAGCAGG